CGACCCACACCAGTCCACTAACACCCAGGTACCCATTTTACTGCTGGGTGAACATAGACAACCGGTGTAAGGAAACATGTCCGATGTTTTCAACCCTTTCGCCGGGAATTGAACCCGGACCCTCACCGTGTGAAGCGAGAGCTTTTGCCACCAGGTCACGGGGTGCGGGATGGGTAGAAGCAAGGATATAGAGGAAGGAAGGAGAGGTGAGAGAGTAAACAAAAGTGAGATATTGGTATCATCTCTAAGCTTATTACTGTTAGACACAAGTTGCTTAAGTAACTTCCCATAATTATAACATATACGAGTTAATACCTAAGAAAGCCACCTTCAGATCCATGAGACTTCTGATGAGTTATGCCAGCCTCACTGTCAACGCTCGAACTAGCTTTCTCAACCTTCAAATACGACTCTAATCTTGTGTAACACTATCAAGTTGATACATAAAACACATGTGCAACACATAGATATCCTAGTGCAGGCCAAACATTTCGGAGATCAGTACACAGGTGTTGCAGATGTGTCTAACTCATTGCCTCTGGTATGATGAAGATCTGTTGCAACCCCTGAATGGGTTACAATGATTATTATGTATATATGTAATGTATATTATCTTTTCATTTAATTTTATATTGCTTATATTTGCGATAATAGCTAAATCGTAAATGTATGCCTTTATATTATTATTTGACTGTTATATTGTTATTTAGCTTATGTTGTTAGGATGTGTATAAAATGTGCTCAGTTAGGCTTGATTGTCAAACTACTGTAATTATCGCTTGTCGCTCGTTATACTGCCGGCTCCTGAGCTGCAGTTGTCCACGTAGCTATCACGTGATCGAGGGGGGGGTGTCCTCACCTCGTGTGAAGTATTCAGTCTGCTAGAGACTCGCTTGCTGGTTGGACAGATTGTCTGTCTGACAGTCTGCTGGAGACTCGCTTGCTGGTTGGACAGATTGTCTGTCTCATTATTCTTGTTAGTTCTGTAGAACTTTGTTCACAGAACATTGTATAGACTTAGTGATTTTCGACGTTGTACTGAGGTTGTGTGTCACATTGACACTCTGAACATCTCAGGTCCCGAGCTATAGCTTCTGACCTAATTTTGTACTGGTTCCTGTGTATTGTCACAGTCACAGTTTTTCCTATGCTGAACGTAGATTCAGTTTTATGGGAGTTTTGTAACTTGTGGAGGATCTGCAGATGGTCCCTACTTAGTGTCGTTATATTATTTCCCAGTTCCTGATTCTGTGTCGCAGTCGCTTGATATTGCATTGCTATTGGGCTTAGCATTCTTTGTTGTTCAAGCAGACTGTTCGGGTTGCCAGTCGGTCAAGAAGTTAGTTTATTTGAGGACTTTGTCAGTCACTTGTTTAAGTCTAATTCGAGTCTTGAGACACAGCTAACTACTTAAGAGCACTTATACGCATACACACACTTGTACATATTTGTAATATCTTATTAAATGTTAATGTACCTGACGGTACTTAAGAATTATAAATGTGATATGTGCTTTCAGCACAATAATATTGAACTCGAGAGATTGATTTTATTTTGATTGCTGTAATTGATTTAATTTGATAATATACCTCTAGACAACTTACTACTTAATAAATTTATTAAATTTTAATTTCTCTAGTTAGTAGCCTACCAGTTGTAATCCTAAAGCACTATTGAACCATACTAAATTTTAATGGATAATTGGACAAAGATACTGACTACTTGTTACAAAATCCCGGACAGGCCCCCATTTGTTCAGACTCGTTCAAAAGGTTGAAGCGCTTGCTATCCTCTGCTCCTGTGTTGAAGAGTCCTAATTTCAATCTTCCCTTCTTTTTAGATATAGATGCAAGTTGTTATGCAGTGGGTGCTGTGCTGCTCCAACAGTCAACATCCTCTGATATTCTCCATCCTATATGTTACTATTCATCTAAGCTTAAACGACACCAGAAAAATTATGCCACTATTGAGAAAGAGGCTCTAGCTCTTGTGGTGTCCTTGGAACATTTTGACGTGTATTTGGGCACTTCCCCATTTAAAATTAACGTTTTTTCTGACCACAATCCACTCACTTATATAAATACTATGAAAAGTAAAAATGCTAGGATCATGAGGTGGGCCCTCAGAATCCAACCTTATTCTATTAGTATAAAACACATAAGTGGTCATTGTAATGTAATTGCTGACGCTCTGTCTCGTCCTTAATAATTATCAGTTACATTAAATTAACGTAATTTTATGCCCAAATACCTTTTGTTACTTGCTATGTCAAATTCAGTAAAGTAACTTAATCCCTCCAGCCCATATTAACTATATATACTCATGTCATGTCTAATTATTATATTTATATATTCACAGTAATGTTGTGTGAGGAGGAAACAAGCTGAGTGTTGAGTGAGTAGTGTGGTGCGGGTGATGTACTGCGTGACACAACACTGTCCTGCCGCAGACCCCCCCCTTACTACACACCTTAAGCTGTTTCATACTCAGATGTTCATACTGCCTAGCATTCCACAACCACTACTTAAGAGTGGAATGCAGTCTCCTCTACTATGATCGAGCCTCAACGTGCCCTCCTTGTCAGCGCTATCCTGTCTCTACACTGATGTATATAACCACTAGTATGAAGATATACGATACTGTGTACTGCCCTAGTACCTAGGGGCATATCCTAGTGACGGACGCTGTGAAATTGTAGAGGTGCTTGGCACAAGAGACATTCATTAATATTTATTTTGATAATAATATTGATATGAGTAACCAGAAATAATGTGAAAGACATTCATGCAACTCCTAGTGCGACCCTCTGTCGTGTTGGGGGGGGGGGGGGTGTTGCAACCCCTGAATGGGTTACAATGATTATTATGTATATATGTAATGTATATTATCTTTTCATTTAATTTTATATTGCTTATATTTGCGATAATAGCTAAATCGTAAATGTATGCCTTTATATTATTATTTGACTGTTATATTGTTATTTAGCTTATGTTGTTAGGATGTGTATAAAATGTGCTCAGTTAGGCTTGATTGTCAAACTACTGTAATTATCGCTTGTCGCTCGTTATACTGCCGGCTTCTGAGCTGCAGTTGTCCACGTAGCTATCACGTGATCGAGGGGGGGGTGTCCTCACCTCGTGTGAAGTATTCAGTCTGCTAGAGACTCGCTTGCTGGTTGGACAGATTGTCTGTCTGACAGTCTGCTGGAGACTCGCTTGCTGGTTGGACAGATTGTCTGTCTTATTATTCTTGTTAGTTCTGTAGAACTTTGTTCACAGAACATTGTATAGACTTAGTGATTTTCGACGTTGTACTGAGGTTGTGTGTCACATTGACACTCTGAACATCTCAGGTCCCGAGCTATAGCTTCTGACCTAATTTTGTACTGGTTCCTGTGTATTGTCACAGTCACAGTTTTTCCTATTTCTGAACGTAGATTCAGTTTTATGGGAGTTTTGTAACTTGTGGAGGATCTGCAGATGGTCCCTACTTAGTGTCGTTATATTATTTCCCAGTTCCTGATTCTGTGTCGCAGTCGCTTGATATTGCATTGCTATTGGGCTTAGCATTCTTTGTTGTTCAAGCAGACTGTTCGGGTTGCCAGTCGGTCAAGAAGTTAGTTTATTTGAGGACTTTGTCAGTCACTTGTTTAAGTCTAATTCGAGTCTTGAGACACAGCTAACTACTTAAGAGCACTTATACGCATACACACACTTGTACATATTTGTAATATCTTATTAAATGTTAATGTACCTGACGGTACTTAAGAATTATAAATGTGATATGTGCTTTCAGCACAATAATATTGAACTCGAGAGATTGATTTTATTTTGATTGCTGTAATTGATTTAATTTGATAATATACCTCTAGACAACTTACTACTTAATAAATTTATTAAATTTTAATTTCTCTAGTTAGTAGCCTACCAGTTGTAATCCTAAAGCACTATTGAACCATACTAAATTTTAATGGATAATTGGACAAAGATACTGACTACTTGTTACGAAAACCCAGTAACAGGCTGGATGCTAGAAGGGCAGTCCTTTCTAGTATTCACTGGAGATCTCTAAGCTTTTAGAATCGCGTTTTTTGTAACAAGATCTGAACGTAATATTTGCTCTCTACGATGGCTAGGCGCGCCTTCCCAAGCTGGGCTGCCTCTACCTGGCCTGTGGAAACCATACCATGGGCGGGATTTGAACCCGCGGTCAGAGAGTCTGAAAACTCCAGACCGTCGCGTTAGCCACTGGACCAGCTAGCTTCAATAAGATTCGTCCAACTAGGTGTATTTCTATACCATAGGAAGGTTAGCATAGGCACCACTGTGTCCACAAATTGCAGTGACGAACTCTAGCTCAAGTCCCCTAAAAGCCGTCGGGTTCAAATCCCGCCCGTGGTATGGTTTGTTTGCAATCGTGTCATTACGATTTCGTGAGTCATGTTGGCCTGTGGAAGCTTAGTGGACGGTGCTCAGGCGACTACTGTCTCCCTAGCACAGTCTATGCTTGAAGGGATCATTGTAAAGTGTGTGGATATAGCATCGGACTCTATCTACTCATCCTTTTCCCCTGGGGACCATATGACCCCTATGGATTTAGCGTTTCTCCTATGAATGAAAACGCAAAATTTTCTGTCTTTAAGAATAGTGACTAATAAGACGAACGATACAAGTGTTAAGACGCAAGGAATCACTTAACGTATATAGCAAAGGGACGTCTAACAACCCTGGCGTGTTACTGTTGATGCTGGAAATGGAGTCCTCTACAGTGGTACCCAGGGTCGGCTACGCTACTGTTTATTTTTGAATGATTTTATTAATCATTATTGTATTTAGAGGCAGAGCTCGTGTGGTGGCAGTCTAGTTTTGCAAGCACTGCTCCTCACAGGGTGCTGGATGCTGCATGTGAAAGGAAAGCCCAACTTTTCCTAAGGTTTAAATAAGGAGAGCACTTCTTCATTCGCCAGAGCTCAAACACTGCATGACTTAGAGGGTTTTCGCATTGTTGACAAACAGAATACAATAATTCTGCAATAATTTTCACTTGGGGAAAACCAAATGCTTCGTGAAACCCTGAAAACTTCTAATTCTTTATTCTTACTTTCAGAAGCGTCGTGTGAGCTGTTGTGAGCGTAATAACTCATGGTTCGTCAGTACTGTAGATACAGAGAAGCTGGTACTTGGTGATGATGACGTGGTCTAGCTCTAGTGCTGACGACCTCGCCACTTCCTGGTCTCAGCCTACCAAGTGGCTCGACGACAATATTAGTGCAGCAAACGACTGGCTGGTGAACGCAAAGAGACCCTGGCGGGAGGTGGTCACAGAGGAGCTGGGGGTTCTGGTAACTAATAGCACCTTTGACCTGGCCAGAGAGAGCTTGAGTCAGGTCACAGAAAGTGTCAACGTGCTTGTGCTAACCTCTAATATCACTTCCGAGGGCGAGGGAGCTTCTAGCAATCTAAGAGATGAAGCCCTAGTAGTGTGGGAGATCGTAACGCTTCTGGCCATCTTCTTGTTAACAGTTTTAGGTAACGTGGTCGTGCTTTTCATGCTGCTGGTCCGCCATAAGAAGCTGACCCGCATGTGTTACTTCATACTCAGTCTCTGTTTGTCTGATCTCATCACTGCCTTCTTCAACGTTCTGCCACAGATGGTGTGGGAGGTGACCTACAGGTTCCGTGGAGGAGGCTTCTTGTGTAAGGTGGTTAAGTTCGGACAGCTTCTCGGCCCTTACCTCAACTCCTACCTGCTCGTGATGACAGCTCTTGACCGGTACCAAGTGATTTGCTACCCGCTCTCCAACTGTGCATGGACGCCGCGCAGGTCAAAGAACATGATCTGCCTGGCGTGGGTGCTGGCTCTAGGTTCCTGCATTCCCCAGCTCTTTGTGTTTAGCTATCAGGATTTGGGCAACGGCTCGTGGGACTGCTGGGCTTCCTTCATCCCTCCCTGGGGCCCTAGAGCCTACGTCACTTGGTACGCTCTCTCCGTGTTCATAGTGCCTCTAATTTTCCTTATATTTGCCTACTCGTGCATCTGCCGGACGCTGTACGTCAACTTCAAGCACAAGCAGATGGATGATCACACCCAGCGGTGGAGAGATACACGGCGGCCCAGGCTTCTGGTCCGCTTGCGACCTCAGAGACACCGAACAGAGGGCGAGGTATCTACCTGCATCCACGACACGCCGCTTCAAGAGAACATCGTGCCACTCCTCGACGCTCCGATGACTCTGTCGACGCCCATGGTGGCAGACCACAAACCCACCATGACCAGGACGAACGAGCAGACCTTAAGACCATTCCGGGGGGCCAACCCTCGTTCACACTCCATCAGAAGCATCAGCCGGGCCAAGATCAAGACAGTGAAGCTCACCATTACTGTCATCTTCTGTTATGTCAGCTGTTCTGCTCCCTTCATCTCCGTGCAGCTGTGGCATGTCTGGGACCCCAACGCTTCCTCTAACCCTTTCTATAACGGTGAGTCGTAAACACACTTTCACAACTTGTGGAGTCGATCCTCAGGTCCTGGGTGTTGAACCCTTCCTTATTTGTACTCATTCGGGGTTACAGGGGTCTAATCTCAGCTCCTGGCCCTGCCTCTTGCTGTTTGCCGGATTTACTCCTTTCTGGCCCTGTGGGCCCTGTCATACCTATTCGCAAAACTATGGAGCCTACATCCACTCCGTCCTTAAGATCATTCCACTACCTGACTATCCTGAGACTAAAGAACTACTTCTTGACATCCTCGATCAGTCTATCCCTGTCCACCCTGCTGAGTCCATCGAGTATTTTGTATGATGTTATCATGTCTCCCTTGGTACGTCAGTCCTCTGACGACGTCAAGTTAGTTCCCTCTGCCTCTCAGATCATTACACTCATTACCAGCTACTATTGCAAGTTTCTCTGGTTCTGATAATTTATCAGGTGTAGGTTCATACTGTGTGTTATATGGTGATATTGTGTGTTATGTGGTGGTACTGTGTGTTATGTGGTGTTGTGTGTTATATGGTGGTATTGTGTGTTATGTGGTGTTGTGTGTTATATGGTGGTATTGTGTGTTATGTGGTGTTATTTTTGTGTTATGTGGGTTATTGTGTGTTATGTGGGTGGTATTGTGTGTTATGTGGTGTTATTGTGGTGTTATGTGGTGTTATTGTGTGTTATGTGGTGTTATTGTGTGTTGTGGTGTTATTGTGTGTTATGTGGTGTTGTGTGTTATGTGGTGGTATTGTGTGTTATATGGTGGTATTGTGTGGTTACCTGGAGGTCACCTGGAGGTCATTCCGGGGATCAACGCCCCCGCGGCCCGGTCCACGACCAGGCCTCCCGATGGTCAGGGCCTGATCAACTAGGCTGTTACTGCTGGCCGCACGCAGTCCGACGTACGAGCCACAGCCCGGCTGATCCGGCACCGACTTTAGGTATCTGTCCAGCTCTCTCTTGAAGGCAGCCAGGGGTTTATTGGCAATTCCCCTAATGCTTGATGGGAGGCTGTTGAACAGTTTTGGGCCCCGGACACTTATGGTGTTTTCTCTTAGTGTACCAATGGCGCCCCCTACTTTTTATTGGCGGCTTTTGCATCGCCTGCCCAGTCTTTTAACTTTCGTGGGGATGATTTCTGTGGCAGATTTGGGACCATTCCTTCCAAGATTTTCCAAGTGTAGATTATGATATATCTCTCCCTCCTGCGTTCCAACGAGTACAAGTCAAGTGCTTCCAAGCGTTCCCAGTATTAAGGTGTTTGACAAAACTTATACGTGCAGTAAAGGATCTGCGATTTCACCTGCTTGTATGGAGATGTTAAATGTACAGCAGTATTCCAGCCTAGAGGAACAAGTGATTTAAAAAGGATCATCATGGGCTTGGCATCTCTCGTTTTGAAAGTTCTCATATCCATCCTATCATTTTCTTTGAAACGTGCGATCGGGGCACTGTTGTGATCCTTAAAAGTGAGATCCTCAGACATTACTACCCAGGTCCCTTACATTTTTTTTCCGCTCTATTGTATGGCCGGAGTCAGTAGTATACTCTGTTCTAGTTATTACTCTTCCCGTTTTCCATACCGGAGTAGTTGGAATTTGTCCTCATTGAAAAATCATATTGTTTACCGTTGCCCACTGGAAAACTTTGTTTATATCTTCTTGGAGGTTAACCGCGTCCTCAGCAGATGACAGCCTCATGCAGATCCTAGTATCATCCGCAAAGGATGATACGGTGCTGTGGTGTATATCTCTGTTTATGTCTGATATGAGGATAAGGAATTTAAAATGGGGGCGAGTACTGTGCCTTGTGGAAAAAGAGCTCTTCACTATGGCAGCCTCCGATTTAACTCTGTTGACCCTACTCTTTGTGTTCGATTTGTTAGGAAGTTGAAGATCCATCTCCCCACTTTCCCAGTTTTTCCTTTAGCACGTATTTTATGGGCTATTACCCATGATCGCATTTGTCAAAAGCTTTTGCAAAAATCTGTGTATATTACATCTGCATTCTGATTTTCTTCCAGTGCAAACCAAGGCCATGTCATAGTGATCCAGTAGTTGTGAGAGGCAGGAGCGACCCGCCCTGAACCCATGTGCCCTGGATTGTGCAGATTTTGGGAATCCAGGTGATTTGCAATCCTGCTTCTTAGCACTCTTTCAAAGATTTTTATGATGTGGGATGTCAGAGCTATGGTCTATAGTTCTTTGCTAATGCTTTTCTGCCACCTTTATGGAGTGGGGTATATCCGTTGTTTTAAGTGACTGTGGAATTTTCCCCAGTCCAAGCTTCCCCCTCCATAGTGTACTTAGGGCACGCGAGAGGGGTTTCTTGCCCGTTCTTAATGAAACCAAGAGTTCCACGAGTTGGCCCGGGGCTGAGTGCATAGGCATGTTGTCAATGGCTTTTTCGAAATCTATCGGAGTTAGGGTAATGTCGGAAATCTGGCATACATTTATGGAGTTTTTTAGGCTCATTCATGAAGAAATCATTTGGGTCGTCGATCCTCAGACCGATTAGTGGTTCACTAAACACAGAGTCGTACTGGGATTTCAATATTTCACTCATTTCCTTGTTGTCGTCTGTGTAAGTCCCCTTCCTGTCTGAGTAAGGGCCCCATACTAGATGTGGTATTTGCCTTGTTTTTGGCATATAAAAGAAAAAATTTTGAATTTCTTTTCAATTTTCACTAATAGCTTTAAGCCTCCTGCCTCTCCTGGTTCCTGTAAGAGTCCCTTTTAGCTTAAGTTCGATAGTTTTTCCACTTCCCTGGTCAGCGCCTCCCTTCGTGTATCGATATTCTAGCACTCCTGAGGACTCAGTGACCCCTTCGTCGTCTTCTGTAGAGGGGGCGTCTTTTTCTCTCCAGTTTACTCCTGCTCTTCTTCTTTCTTAGGGGAATATGCCTTTGAACATGCTTCGGCTACCAGGCAGTTGAAACCTTTCAAGGCACTGGTTTGGGTCCATGTCATTTAAGACATCTTCCCAACATGTTTCGTTTAGGACATGGTTTACCTGGTCCCAGTTGAATGTTCTTTTTGAAATTGTATTTTGTGAAGACACCTTCACAGGTACATGCATTCTGTTGTTCAGGAACCCCTATGCATGTACGTCTGGACTTCGATTAGATTGTGATAGGAATTAGTTGTTTTTGATATTCTTATGTCTTTAAACAGGTCCTCATTATTTGTGAAGATAAGGTCAAGTGTGTTTTCTAGTCTTGTTGGCTCCACTATCTGCTGGGTTAAGGTGTGTTTTTCGCAGAGACTTTTGTAGCTCATGTGTGTGTGACCTTTCATCTGCGCTACCTCCGGGGATTGTTTCAGCTATAACATTATTTGCTACATTCTTCCATTTTGTATGCCTTAGGTTGAAATCACCAAGCAGTAAGATGTTTGGGGATGGAGCTGGAAGGTTTTCCAAACAGTAATCAATTTTCAGTAGCTATTCCTTGAACTGTTGGGAGGTTGCATCTGGTGGCTTGTATACAACCACAATGACTAGGTTTTGGTTCTCGATCTTTATTGATAGAACTTCAACTACCTCATTTGTGTTATTGTGTGTTATGTGGTGTTATTGTGTGTTATGTGGTGTTATTGTGTGTTATGTGGTGTTGTGTGTTATGTGGTGTTATTGTGTGTTATGTGGTGTTATTGTGTGTTATGTGGTGTTGTGTGTTATGTGGTGTTATTGTGTGTTATGTGGTGTTATTGTGTGTTATGTGGTGTTGTGTGTTATGTGGTGTTATTGTGTGTTATGTGGTGTTATTGTGTGTTATGTGGTGGTATTGTGTGTTATGTGGTGGTATTGTGTGTTATTTATGTGGTTTATTGTGTGTTATGTGGTGTTATTGTGTGTTATGTGGTGTTATTGTGTGTTATGTGGTGGTATTGTGTGTTATGTGGTGGTATTGTGTGTTATGTGGTTGTTATTGTGTGTTATGTGGTGTTATTGTGTGTTATGTGGTGTTATTGTGTGTTATGTGGTGTTATTGTGTGTTATGTGGTGTTATTGTGTGTTATTGTAGTGGTACTGTGTGTTTATGTGGTGTTATTGTGTGTTATATGGTGGTATTGTGTGTTATGTGGTGTTATTGTGTGTTATGTGGTGGTATTGTTTTATGTGGTGTTATTGTGTGTTATGTGGTGGTATTGTTTTATGTGGTGTTTGTGTGTTATGTGGTGTCATTATGTGTTATGTGTTGTTATTGTGTGTTATGTGGTGGTATTGTGTGTTATGTGGTGGTATTGTGTGTTATGTGGTTTTGTGTGTTATGTGGTGGTATTGTGTGCTATGTGGTGGTATTGTGGTTATGTGGTGGTATTGTGTGCTATGTGGTGGTATTGTGTGTTATGTGGTGGTATTGTGTGTTATGTGGTGGTATTGTGTGTTATGTGGTGGTATTGTGTGTTATGTGGTGGTATTGTGTGTTATGTGGTGTATTGTGTATTATGTGGTGGTATTGTGTGTTATGTGGTGGTATTGTGTGTTATGTGGTGTTATTGTGTGTTATGTGGTGGTATTGTGTGTTATGTGGTGGCATTGTGTGTTATGTGGTGGTATTGTGTGTTATGTGGTGGTATTGTGTGTTATGTGGTGTTATTGTGTGTTATGTGGTGGTATTGTGTATTATGTGGTGGTATTGTGTGTTATGTGGTGGTATTGTGTGTTATGTGGTGATATTGTGTGTTATGTGGCAGACGATGCAACATCCCCCCCAATGAAAAGCAGGAGTGTCACTAGCACGTTAAGAGACCATACAATAAGTGTCAGGGGCCCGAGACTGTTCAACTGCCTCCCAGCATACATAAGGGGGATTACCAACAGACCCCTGGCACTCTTTAAGCTGGCACTGGACAAGCACCTAAAGTCGGTTCCTGACCAGCCGGGCTGTGGCTCGTACGTTGGTTTGCGTGCAGCCAACAGTAACAGCCTGGTTGATCAGGCTCTGATCCACCAGGAGGCCTGGTCACAGACCGGGCCGCGGGGGCGTTGATCCC